ATATGTGCATACAATGCTTGGGTCATTTCTCCACCCTTCCCCCACCCCCTCCCTTACCACCCACTCCACCTGCTCCCTCTTGTTCTCACTCTTGTTGCAAGATACTTACTTTTAAGTTCGTATTTTAGCCACTTACCCATCCTATATAAATCTCTACCTCCCCAGTCCCTTTTATTATTAAAATTCTATCTCATTATTTCTTCCAAACTTTCTGTATTTTGGGTTGGTAAACAAATCACCTACACCCAGAAATACTGCCTTCTTGTTCACATTATTTTTGTTGCCTCTTTGTGTTTCTTTTACTGTTTTATACATGTATATTGCTTTGCTTATTTTGTGTTTAATTCAATTGTATGAGTATTCCTGAATTCATAAAAGTCCAGATATGAATGTTCCCTTTACTTTTTCTTTTCTTTTTAACAGTAAAGTCATTTTATTAAAATCACAGTAGAGGAACTATGATTTGAAACAATGAAATCTGAAACTCTCAGACCTTACCTTTACAGCTTCTATAAACAAAAATACATATGCCACTATGTATTTAATAAATTAGGTTAGACACTGATCCTACACTAACGTTTGTTATTGTCCTTCCAAGAAAAGATATCAGAGGTAAAGGATAAATCAAACCTAACAGCATCACCAGATGATATTTGAAGACTTCATTAGATTTATGACTATTGTTTTTATAGGGAAAAAAAGAACCTCAGAGACATCTAAAAAGAATAGACCTTGTGAAAAGAAGATATGACAAGAATTTTCTAATGTCTTAGGCAAACAACTGAGATTAGAGCAAGAAATTTTGGGCACCACTAATTCTTTGTTCCAGCAGTACTCTTCCAAGAAGAGGGCTAGCCTCAACTGACTCCATGTGAATTCTCCAGCCATCATAAACATGGACTAAACAGCCTCCCATGGTTTCCGGGTCTGCCATTCAATAATTAGTTGTGAAGATTTTTAATAAGTTATGCTTTGATATGGTTTCCATGCTAAGGCTTATCTCTGTGCTGGTTACATTATTTTTTTAATGCTTGAGAAAGCCCTTAGAGTATATTTCAATACTCCCTTCACATCCTGAAGTCCTGGTGTTTTAGAAGTCCACATTAACACCAGAGGGGAATGTGTATTGTGAGTTGTCAGTAGTTGAAATTTTTCAAAATGTGCCCAATAAATGATAAAATATACAGACATTTAAAATTAACATTATGAGCCCCCTAAAAACTATTTGAAATGTGGGAGGAAAGAGGGGACTTATGAAAGAGTAATAAAGCATGTGAATTTCACCAAAGTACATTATATACATGTATAGAAATATCACAATGAAACAACTTATGCTAATAGAAAAGAAATTCAGAGAAATAAATTAATCATAAATTATTTTAAATAATTTTTATATAATAAATTATAATAAAAATTTATATAAGAAATAATTATTAAACTAATAATTTTATCATTAATTAATAAAACAAAGGAACATATCAAAAGCAATGGGATACAGCAAAAAAATACTCTTAGTAGTAGTTATGAAACAGCAATCAATGTCAACATCAAAGAAGTAAACAACCTGAAAATAACAGCTCAAGGAACAAGAGAAGCAGTAAAACAAGCCCAAAATTAGTAGAGGATATGAACCATCTAATCTAAATAAACCTATAACAAACAATGAGATCAAAGGTTTAATAGAATATCCCAACAAACGAATGTCCAAGATCCCCTGGAATTAAGTGCTGAATTCTACCAGACCTTTAAAGAAGAACTAATGTCAATAACCTTAAACTTTTACATTAATTAAAAAGGGAAGGAACACTTCCAATTCTATAAAGCCCATATTACACTGATTCTAAAATGGGACAAGGATATAGCAAAAAAATGAAAGGAAAAGGAAAGAATTGTAGGTCAATCTCTTTAATGAACATAGAAATAAAGTTCTTAATAAAATACTTGAAAACTGAATTCAACAACATAACAAAAAGATCATTGAAGAAAGTCTATTGTTAAATCAGGTCTTCCCCCTCTTTTTGTTTAGTGTGGCAAAGGTTTGTTCATATTGCTTATCTTTTCAGAAAACCAAGTTTTTGTTTCATTGATTTTTTTGTATTGCTTTTAAATCTCCATTTCATTAAGTTCTCCTCTGATCTTTATTGTTTCTTTAAACATACTAATTTGAGTTTTGACTTTTTTTGTTTTTCTAAGAGCTTGATGTGTATCATTAAGTTATTTATTTGAGATTTCTTAATTTAGGTGCTTGTAGATATAAATGTTACTCTCATTGCTACCTTTGCTGTGTCCCAAAGGTTCTGGTACATTGTGTTTCCATTTTCATTTGGTTCTAAGAATTTTTTATTTCCTCTGTTATTTCTTGGATAACCCAGTGATCATTCAGCAGTGTATTGTTCAGTCTCCATGTGTTTGAAGATTTTCTGTATTGTCTTTTGTTGTTGAGTTCTAGTTCTATTCAGTTGAGGTCTAATAAAATATAGGAGGTTGTTTTTATTTTCTTATATTTGTCCTAAAATGTGATCTATTTTGTATAAAATTCATAGCTGATGAGAAGAATGTGTATTTTGTACCCATGGAACAGCTTATTCTGTAGATGTCTTTTATGTCTATTTTAGCTACAACGTTATTTTCCTTATTGATTATTGTCTGATGAGCTATTTAAGAGAGTGGGGTACTGACACAATCCACTATTATTGCATTGGGATTTATTTGCAGTAGTGTTTGTTTTATGAAATTAGGTGTGTCAACATTTGTTTGGTTCATAAATGTTTACAATTATTATATCATCCTCATTGATTGTTCTCTTTATCATTGTTAAATGACTATATGTCTTCTTCTACTAATTTTGTTTTGAAGTCTTCTTTGTCAGATATTAGTGTAGCTGCTCCTGCTTGCTTTTAGGGTTTATTTGTTTGGAAATGCTTTTTCTATCATTTCATTTTAGCCTGTTTTTGTCTTTGTCAGTGAGTTGCATTTCTGATAGGTAACAAAAGGAGTGTGCAATGCGAGTGTTTTAATGTATTTGGTATAACTGATGACTACTTCAGTAGTCAACCTTTTCCCTGTGTTCTCAAGGCACCAAAAATGATCCTCAGACCACTCACAGAAAAACTAGCTGAAGTCTGTTGTATTCACTTGTGTATGGGTTGGTGATTTATGTGAGTTGAGGGTGTGGCTGGACAACGGTCAGTTGTCCACTCTGCTGCTTTCACCTTAGAAGCTTCCTCTTTTGTATACTGGAAGCTACTGATGACCACAAAGAGCTTTATAGTCTATGGTCCAGGCAGGTTTCCTCTTGTTGCAATGACCTCCATTGGTGCTCCGAGGTGCAACACACATACAAACCTTGGAGTGTTCCCCAAGTTTGTCTTATAGCAGGAGAAGCAAACAGAGCAATGAATTCTTTACTGGTGTTAGGGAATTGAGGGACTCAGGTGCCCTGCCTACAGGTCTTAGTTCTTTCAAACTGTTAGTTCATCACTGTAGAAAGGAGGACGCAGGTCCCATACTCAGAGTTCTCAACCCTTCCTGACAGAAAGCAAGTTTCTACAGGTGGCAGATAGCTCCTGAATGCAAATCACTTTGACAACTACAAGCTTGGTACAGTTTCTACAGTGATCCTTGGGCACTGGTGTCCTAGTATGGCAGGGACACCAATCATCACACCCTGCATTGCTAGGGCTCCCAACTGCTTAAATTTCTCACTGAGCCCTCATTTAGCCCTCTCCTCCTCAACCCTTTCTCATGGCTGTATACCATGCTGACCCTGTGATGGTGTGTTTCAAGACTCCTGGAGACATGGGTTATTCCTTGGTTAACAAGCTGCCACAAATGTCTGTGGCTGGCAGGCAATTCCTAGAGCCATTGCACTTCATCAGCTGTGGGCTTAGTGTTTTGTTTTTACAGTGATCCTCAGACAATATGATAGGATCTATCCAGGGAGAGCAACCAGCCCCTCCACTGCTCAAGCTTTTAGTTGCTTAAATTTCTCATAGTCAATGCCAGACCCATTCCTTCTCCACAGCCAATTCTCATGGTTGTCTCCCCCAAGACACTTTGGCTAAGTATCCCAAGACTTCCTTAGCTGCAATTGTTTATTGTTTACACATCCCTAGGTTATCTCAGTCTCAAACCTTCCTGGGTGCAACCAACTGCAGCCAGTCAGCAGCTCTTGGAACTTGAGCACTCTGCCAGATGGGCTCAGTGCTCTGTCTCTCTAATGGTTCTTAGGCAAAAGAACTTGCTCTCACTGGGTGGGATGGTATTGCTGAGCACTGTATCTTTGAGCTCACCCAAAGCTGCTTAAACTTTTCTGCTCATGACCATCCAAATCTCTCCTTCTCCATGAGTACCTTTTGTGACCAACTCCCTCCAGACATTGTTTGTGTGTCCCCAGACTTCATGGTTGTGATTACCACTTGTTTTCAAGTACTACAAGTACCTCAGTCTCAAACAGTAGTCCCTCTCTCAAGATTGCACCTTGCCACAGCTCTCCAAGCTATGGAGGGTGAAAGATTGACTTGTCCTGTCATGCTGGGGGATAGTCACTGTTCCAAGTCCTCCTCACACTGGGTTTATGGCATATATGAAATCAGGGTCATTTCTGGGTACACTGACTTAGTCATGAATTTATGATGGAAAAGGACTACAAACCACAATGTCATGTGAATTCAGGAATAGTCTCATAAATTCAATTAAGGATGAAGTAAAGGAAGCAATATTCAGACATGAAACACAGTGGAATAAAACCACAATGCCACAGAAAATGTGACCCACAATCAGGATTTTCTGGTCTAGATGATTGATTTAACAACACAAATTATGGAAAGGATGGAAAATATAATGAGATTAAAAATTAAAGTTCAAATTAAAGTAGAAAAAAGAAAATATAATGAGATTAGAATTTGAGTTATAAAATGGAATGGGGAGTTAGACATGTTCACAGCATTGCAAGGTTAAGAGACGAACAATAAATACCTTAAATAAAAGTGAAAAGGATATTAGATTATTTTTCTCTGCAGCTTAAACAAGGCACCTTTAATATCTCTGTTCCTTAGGCTATAGATGAAGGGATTCAGGAAAGGTGTTACAAGAGTGTACATCACTGAGACAAGTGCACTGTTTCTAGGAGAATGTGACACAGCTGACCCAAGGTACACCCCAGTGGTTGTTCCATAAAACAAGCAAACTACAGAGAGGTGAGATCCACAGGTGGAGAAGGCTTTATACTTGCCACCTGATGGGATTTTCATAATGGAGGAAATTATTTTATAATAAGAGAGGAGAATCCCTGAGATGGGAAAAAATCCATATATGATGGCAAGAAAATACTTGGGAATGTCATTAGAGAAGCGGTCAGAACAGGTAAGATTAATGACTTGAGTAGGATCACAATAAAAATTAGAAATTTCCACATCTTTGAAGTTTGTAAACTGTAACACAATCAAATTGTGTATCTGGCATCCCAAAATGCTAATCAAGAAAGAAATCCAAACCAAAAATCTGCAGAGTCTAGGGTTCATAACAATGGGGTAGTGCAGAGGATGACAGATGGCCACAAACCGGTCATAAGCCATCACAGTCAGGAGCATGTCATCCATATTTCCAAATATGATAAGAAGAGACATCTGTGTCAGGCAGCCCACATAGGAGATGATTCTGCTGTGAGTTTGGATGTTCACAATCATTTTTGGGACAGTGGTGGAGATGAAACAGATGTCAGCCAAGGACAGGTTGGCGAGGAAGAAGTACATGGGGGTGTGGAGGTGGGAGTCACAGCTGATGGCCAGAATTATGAGCAGGTTCCCAAGTACAGTGACCAGATACATGGACAGGAACAGTCCAAATAGAAAGTGCTGCACTTCTGGATCCTCTGAGAGCATCATGAGATGGAATTCATAAATCTGTGTTAGATTTCCTGCTTCTACATTGTTTGGACACCTTTTGAAAAAGAAGATTCATTGGAAAAAAGAAACAGAAAGGCACTCACCACTCTGCATATATTTTAAATTCATGTCAAAAAAGTAAAATATGCTCACTTGAGGTCCACACACCTTCAGCAATATTTCTCATTTGTGACAAATGCAGTAATCTAGAATTCTTTCACTATTTAGCTTAATTGTTATCCACTCCCTTCTATGCACACCTCCTTTAGGACAATGCTAGAAAAACAAAACCTTATAAATAGACAGTATTCCATCAGTGTAGAATATAGAATGCTCTTTTAAGGTGCCATGGAAAGGACAAAATATTGTCTCCCATTTAATAATCACTCTAATTAAAGTTAATGACTAAGTTGTAGAATATGCCTTATTTTACAAAAAAAGGTCTAAATTTCCTTGATTTCAATTATTTATAAAGACTGTATAAGTGTGTGGCTTGCATTGTCTGAATATTAAATTCAGGTTGATGGATGAGAATCAGAAATTATTATGATATAGGGTTATTTTCCAGGGATTCTTATTTCCCTTCTTCGAGAATGAAGTGCTCAGTCAATTATTTTTGTCTTTCAAAAATCATTTTACAAATGAAAGATGATTGAGGAGATAGATATGTTTAATTTGATTTAAACATTACCCAATGTGTACATATGCCAAAACATCATATGATATCTAATTATTATGAACAATATCTAGATTTCTATATCATTTAGAAAACAAAGTAAAATATATTTATTTAACTGTGGTGGAATAAAAATTGTGATAGAAATATAAATAGATACAATTGATAAATTGATCACAATGAGCCATTAGTATACACTGCTCATGTTAATCATTAAAAAATAAAGTTTCATAAAAAATTTTGAATTTTCAAATTTTTATATGTGTATTTCAAGTCCATGAAATTTTATTAAAATTTTGTTATGTAAGAGCTGTTTCCTTTTTTCCCACTCTTGGTTCTGTATTTTCAAGTGTCCTGTAAATATTGTTTCATTGTTGTCTGGATGAGAACCATCTATATTTACAGTGAAGGACCTTGGATGAGAGTCAGAAAATGAACCTGCTTAGTCCCATGTCACTTGTCAGCTGCTACATTCAGAATGTGTGCAAATTCCACTACTTCTTGCATATGTACACAATTTATGTGGTACCTACACATATTTTGGTAATTACTAAAATATCATTGTTGCATGTTTTTTTGATAGGGAATTCCTTAATTATGGAAATAGCAAGTTCATTATGAATACACTTTTCAAATAGCATTGGAACTCAGAATGATGTAAAATTCCTAAAATTGTCTCAATTGAAGAAAGTAGGAAAACAGTAACATCAGGTCACTAAATCATTTAGTGGAGTGACATGAAAATTATCATTATCATCATAATCTATAATAATAACATGCAATTTTTGCTTTGACAATATTTTGTATGCACATTGTGTTTCAATCACAAAGAAAGTTCATATTATGCCTGTTCCTATTCAACGCAGTTGTATCAACTGAACATCACTACCTTGCCAATTTGAGATGCACAGAACTAACTTACAGAAATAGAAATAATAAATGAAGCTGACTGGATTCAAAATGAAATAGTTTCTTTTAAAATTTTATTTAATTTTTACCTTTCATTAATCTATGTAACTTGTACAAAGGGGTACAACAATACAGCTGACTGCTATGTTGTGGTCCCTGTACTCCTCCTCCTCTTAATCCTCACCTTGACAATAACTTAGAAATGTTTAGAAACGTTTTGAGGGTCTCATCTTATGCTTTCATGGGGACTAGAGTTCATGTGGGGAGGAAAGCAAAACTTGGATAAATTATCTAGGATCCTGAATACAATCCAAAACATAAATTTCACACCATCTAACTACATCTTCCCATCTAACTACACACAGTTATGTCTTCCCTGATGAGAAAAAGTCTCTGATGATGCGCCCTCCTTCCAGTATCTCCCTCAGTACTTACCAGTTTAAGCTTCTCTCCAGGGTCATGACAAGGGGCTGGAGATCCAGTCTTTCATCTGTGTCATACCCACAGTGAGCTATGGATCCTTCCTGTGGCTCCATATGAATACAATGTGAGATGGAAGCTTCCTGATACTGACAAACAAGGGAAGGAGAAACACTGCTCTGTAGCCCAGTGGAATGGAACCATCAAGGTCTGGAGGTACAGGCTAATTATGACCTTGGGAATCAAATGCAAGAGATTATAATTAGTCAAATTATTCCATGTTTCCCCAGTCACTAAGGGCTTCTTAATATTCATAGAAGAAAAGGAAATGAAAGTTCACCGAAGTTTTGGGCTCTTCCTCTTCTCATGGAGGACTTCTGAATGTTTTTTATTGAATATGTTTGTTTTTATTCATTTTAAGATTTCCAAGTCGTGTTTCACTTTTATTTTTATTGCTTATTAATATGCTTATTTAAAAATTACTATTTTTATGTATACTATAAACAGACTTGGAGGCTTACAGCTTCAAGCTCTGAGAATGTGAGATTTATGCATCTGGGCCTTAGAAGCCAGAGTCTGTAGCAATAGTTGTTCTTTCTGTGGCCTCTGACTTTTGGTGGTCAAACACTTGACACAGCATGAGAACCTCAACTCTAAAGCAATAGCTAGTGCTACAGCAACTAAGTCTTGAGTGTCTGGACACTCATCCTTTTCAGTAGCTAGTGTTGTAGCTCTTGAATTTTGGTGGTTGGGACACACAGACTAAAGATTTGCAATTCATAGGAACCCTTCTAGTGATCTGGGCTCACTGTGTTCCACACTTGGAACTTCATATCTTTCTACTTTCTGCAGTCTTGACCTTCTGCCTCATCTCATCTTTCATATAGTTCCACTGACTTAATTTTCTACACTGCCTTTACATACCACCACTTCTGGCTACGGTGTTCTGCCCTCTCTGGAACTCTTCACTTCTGTTATTACTTCTGCCACTTTGGTATTACTGTTTCCACTGTCAAGTTCACAACTGTTGTCCTTTGCTGCAACACTGCAGCTTCTCCTGTGCATGTTACCCATCACAGTTCAAGCTGAGAGTCCAATCAAAGGCATTCCATGTGGTCAAATCAAAATTCCCAAATTGCTACAACCACTGCTTCTTGCTGAGTTACTGAGGATCTGATCCTACACCCATGTTTAGTAAGAGTGGTTGTAGGGTCATGAAATTCCATGTGGATTTGCTTGCCTAGAGTACTGCCTTGAAAGGAAGATACAGGTTGTCTGTAGTGGCCATGGCTGGAGCAAGGTCTCCTAAGGAGGAGTTGTTGGTGTTCAGCAGCAGCGGTTGTAGTGGCCTCTAAAGCTGCTGTAGTGTTCTCAGAGTAATCAGGAAGTATCAAAAGCACCAGGATTGAGAAGAGACTGCTCAGCTTCCTGTTCTCTTCTAGAGGCTGCTGGGCATAGGGTAAAAGTCTATCTATTGCGGTTCAAATGCTTGAAAGGCATTCTCCATGGTTTCACTCATTCACAGAAAAAACTATCATGTAGGTTGCTTACAATAAAGACTTCAGGAAAGTTCAATACAGAGTTAGCATTCTCAACATCATTTAACAGTACATAGTTACATTTATAATGCTATATATAACAACATTTATAATTGCTATAATAACATAATAGCAATGCATAACAGTGCCAAAAACCCTCTTCCATGCCTGGAGGAGGGGAGTAGTTGGGTCCTTCCAGCTGTCTCCTATGGTGCTATGGTGGTGGGAGTCAGACCTGACTGTCAGGAGAATGAGCACTTTTCTAAGCACCATAACAAGGTGTTTGATCAGGAATATATGAAAGATTCTCTGAGTGTTTTGAGGGATGAAATTCTGAGACATATGAAGGATTTTTTTGTTCCTGTACTGCTTGGAAAACTTTTGAAAAATAGAAGATAAGGCAAAATGGATTCCAATATACAAGCACCCACTGCTGTCTATATATTTTGAGTATTGGAAAAGTAACATAACCACACTTGAGGTCTATAACCTTTAGCAATATTTCTCAGCTGAGACAACGATGTTTTAAATCAGTGTGAGATCCTGAGTTCAACCGCTTTCAGAATTGGCTTCTGTGTAATTCACTTCCTTTTATACACACAGCTTTTGATACACTCAAGTAAATATAATAGAAGACCAAGAACATTACACATAATAATGTCACAATCAGCAGTGGTGGGGGGGAAGGAGGAAGCAGGGGGCAGAGGGGAGAAATAGCCCAAAGTATGCACATATGAATAAATGAATAAAGAAAAAAAAGAAGGGGGGGCGGGGTGGGGGGCGGGGGTGGGTGCAGCCGCTGCGGAGCTGCTGCTCGGCGCGTTTTGCATGAAGATGGCGGCTCCCACCGCCAGCAAGTCAGCCTCCCTGGTCTGTAACAACAAGCCTGCTTTCCCGGAGCTGGATTTCAGGTCCGGAGCTCGGGTGGAGGAATTGAACAAACTCATCCAAGAATTTACGAAGCACGACCAGCGGGAATATGATGATCAGAGAGCGCTGGAGATTCACACCGCCAAGGATTTTATCTTTTCCATGCTGGGAATGGTGCAAAAGCTGGACCAAAAACTTCCGGTGGCTAATGAGTACCTGTTGCTCTCTGGAGGAGTCCGGGAAGGTGTGGTGGACCTGGACTTAGATGAGTTGAACGTCTATGCCCGGGGCACTGACTATGACATGGACTTTACCCTTTTGGTGCCAGCCCTAAAGCTGCATGACCGTAATCAGCCTGTGACACTCGATATGCGCCACTCAGCCTTGTGCCCCTCCTGGCTGAGCCTTCGGCTTTTTGATGAGGGGACAATCAGTAAATGGAAAGACTGCTGCACCATTGTAGACCACATCAACGGTGCCACCAACTACTTCTTCTCCCCCACCAAAGTGGCCGACCTGTTCTATGACTCCATCAGCATTGTCCTATCAGAGATACAGAAGAAGCCCCAGCGAGGGATGCCAAAGGTGGAAAAAGTAGAAAAAAATGGGACCATCATCTCCATCATTCTGGGCGTGGGGAGCAGTCTCATGCTGTATACATGTCCCTGTTGTATCTTTCAAAGGTTGGCCTGCAGTGGCCCAAAGCTGGCTTATGGAGAACCATTTTTGGGATGGGAAGATTACCGAGGAAGAGGTCATCAGTGGGTTTTATTTGGTGCCTGCTTGCTCCTACAAGGGTAAGAAGGACAATGAATGGCGGCTCTCTTTTGCCAGGAGTCAGGTGCAATTGAAGAAGTGCATCTCTAGCAGTCTCATGCAGGCTTACCAGGCCTGCAAAGCCATCATCATTAAACTCCTGTCCCGGCCCAAGGCTACAAGTCCCTATCATCTGCGGAGCATGATGCTCTGGGTGTGCGACAGACTTCCTGTCAACTACTTGGCTCAAGAAGACTATGCAGCCCACTTTTTGCTGGGCCTCATTGATGACCTGCAGCACTGTCTGGTCTACAAGATGTGCTCCAATTATTTCATCCCTCAGTGCAACATGCTGGAGCACCTGTCGGAGGAGACGGTCATGCTCTATGCCCGAAAGCTCTCCTCTGTCCACTCGGGTCTGGCAGAACACTTGCGCACCGCCATCGAGCACGTCAAGGCAGCCAACCGACTGACGCTGGAGCTCCAGCGGCAAGGCAGCACCACCAGCATCCCCTCCCCGCAGTCTGACGGAGGGGACCCCAACCAGCCTGATGACCGACTGGCTAAAAAACTGCAGCACCTAGTGACTGAGAATCCGGGGAAGTCCATCTCGGTCTTTATTAACCCTGATGATGTCACAAGGCCCCATTTCAGAATTGATGATAAATTTTTCTGAGTCTTTTGCTGACACACACCTATCCCCCACCCTCTTCTAAAACCTCTCATAACATATAGTGTGGCTTGTGATTCTGTCCTGTTTTTTACATATTCAGTGTAGATTGGTTTTGTCAAGAACAAATTTTATGTTTCCTGGTTCTGCAGGATGGTGCAGGCTCTGAAACAGTATCTTACTATTTCATATTCTGCCTCTGAATTTGCTGTTTACGTTTTGTAGTTATTGTTACATAGTTTTGTTTAATAATTTGTTAATGTTATTTTTAAGGAGAACTTGAGCCATAGATGAAAATGCCCACAAATCCTTTGCTTTTTTTCTGTTTCATACTTGGTACAAATTTGTTAATGGGTCTTGGGAAACAAATCTATTTCTGACACTTCAGAATTCTCTGTTTTTTGTTTTGTTTTTCTCTTATTTTTCTAATAAGTCTTCACCACTATGGATATTTGAGAATCTGAACCTGGGAACTACTTGGCATGTTGGCTGGCTTTCTTTCTTCAGCCAGAGTACCTTCCCCCTTTTCCACCAAACAATGTAAACTTTGAAAGTAATAATGCCACAAATTGTGTTTTGGAGCAACTTCTTTGAATGTAATTGTTCTCAAATAAGTGAACATTGGATGGTTTGGAGAGTGTGTTTGATAGCTTTCCAAGCAGAATTAAGGTTTCCAAATGTTGTTTTTAGAGTGTGTAATTATTTGAAGCCTTATTTAAATCCTATAAAAGAACATACCATTATAATTGTTATTTGCACTAATGAATTCTTTGCCATTGTCAGTTGAAATGTGTGTTTCAGTATAAATTAACATCCACTCTTGAAATGCTGTCATATTTTCATTTAGCCCATTTCTCTCGGTCAATAGAATGATTCTTTGCATTTGTTTAGTTCTCCTTTGATTGTGGGGTCCTGTTTTGCCCTCTTTGATATTCCTAGTTCCTGTCTTACTCAGAGAAATTTTTAAAGCTTTATATCTGTTCATTGACTCTCTCTAAAGCTGGGGAAGATACATACTTGATTAAGTAGGAGTCTTTGTATTTATTTCTTTTTGGAATTCCAGAGGTAAAGTTTTTTTTTTTTGATTTGTTTTGTTTTGTTTTAATAAACTTCCTTTACTTCTCATGAGATTTTTGAGGAAAACAAGCAGGAAGAATTTATTACCCCCAATTGAAGATACCAGATCTGTCCAAAAGCAGGAACCAGG